CGCATTACAGGAAACTAATAAAATATGTTCTCAGTAATTTGCCCGAGCAAAGATCAAGATGTGACATGATAAACTCTACAGAGATTTCCTGCAGAGCAGGGAAGGGCACAAGGGGATGCAGCGTTTAGAGATAGCCTAGAAATAAACCCACATTTCAACAGTGTGGCTAAATCACCCGAGCAACAATTTAGGCCTGTCACGGATTCTCCTTCACTTGGCTTTTAAAAATCAGGTTTGGACATCTTTAGGAAAATACACAGAAGTAATACAGATCAAAGAGAAAACATTTCTTTAATATAAGCATTATAGGACTAGATTATTTGATTGTTGTTTTATAGAAGGTCAAGCTAGGTGATCGCATCACCTCAGGGTTTGAAATCACTGTGTGGTGACATGCTGACATGTCTGATGAGAACTTCAGCTTGAATAAAAGGAGCTAAAGGATTCAAAAAGCTATATATACTAGATGTTTGTTGTTACTTTTTTTTCTTCAGAACACACCATAAAGCTAAAAATATTACCCAAACTCAAAATGAAAAGTTATTTACTGTACTATCCATTGCTTCTAAGCCCATCTCAATATAGAGAGACTAAGTCCAAAATCAATAACCCTGAATACTACCCGTTGCTGTAAGTGTCCATTAGAATAATCTTCTACTAATTGTATCTTGCTTTCTTTGCAAAACTACAATGCATCAAGCTTTAAGTAGTTTAAGTACTGAATAAAAAGTAAAATAAACCCCTCCCAACTCTTCCAAGATGAACTCCAGACAGATAAAAAACAAAGCATTAAATCTTGCATTTGATGGAACAAAATCATCCACAAAAATTCAGTCCAATCATGAATGATCTCAGTGATAATAAACTCCTATTAACTTGAAAGAATGGAATGTGTGGGTGGCAAGCAGACGAAGATAAATGCAATTAACCTAAGGGAATATGGATTCACTCACTCTCATTAATCATCACATTTGGTTTTGTTGAAAACCTGGAAAGGACACATTACCGAATGCCGCTTTTTATAATTTTCAAGCAAGCATTATAGCTGGGATATTTCAGTTCACTAGATAATCACCACTGCTAGCAAAAGATAAATGTATTCCGAAGTTAATATGGTGTAGGCTATTCTGAGTGAATTGCTTTTTTAAAGAGGAATTCATAAAACCCCCTTCAGTTGTACCCGAATCATTGCCCATGGGCACAATGGCTCTTCTGCAGCCCACAGGGATTACTGCAATTTCTTTGTAAGCTTCCAGAAGAGGGAATGTACTGCAATTCCCTCTCCGGCTATCAAGGGGTTTTACTGAGTTTTTTTGTGCAAGAGCTTGTGAAGCCAACTGTCAATACAGGAGGTTATGTTGAAATGAGGCTTTTAAAGGCCAGCTTTTCCTAACGAGAGGCACTCACTGCATTTACCAAAATTTCAAATGCTTGTATCTGTGCTTGAACAGTCATCATTTAGGAAAAAAAAATAAAATAATAAAAATAGCGTAACCTGGTTTTCCTAGCTCTGAGACCAGCTGCACAGCCAGGGCACACACGTGTATTTGAGCAGATGTGTAGGATTTATGGGAACACTCTTCCTGGGTGACAGTGAAAAAAAAAACCCACAACACACTTTGGGAGGATTTAAGAGCACTTCTGGAAAAGTGCGGTTGTATAAGAAATGCTTTGCAATCAGAAGAATGCATGAGAAACAGTCAAACTTTCTCTGAGTTAATTGCCACTTCGGGTACATCCACCACATTGCTTCAGCCTAACTGCCTCTTTCCTCACAAACTCTGCCTCCAAATGTCGTCTGGCTCCGAAAATCCTCCCAGCTACATCTGAAAAAACCATCATCGATCTGGCATCCTAAGGCAAGATGAAGGCTTTAAGGCATGATGCTTTTCTAAGTCTGGAGGATAAACAGCATCTTGCAACACGGCATCCGAAAAATGCAACAAAACCCAACATTAACAAAAAACAAAAGACAATAATAGAAAAAGAATTTGCCTCTGAATTCCTTCTTTAAGAAGAATTTGGTTGCTAAACAGCATTGCTGAGAGGAAGAAATTACTTTCTTGTCTTACAAAAGTATTCGAGATTTCAAAGGGTCTGTCCCACTGTGGAATGAAAATAAAAGATGTTTTACAGCCTTTATGTTTCTTACCAATTCAAAGGAGACCTCTGCATCCTCCTTCTTGTGTCAGATCTTATAAGCCCCAAAAGGCCCTGGAATGTCTCCCACTCCAGTACGACTTTTCCCAGCTACCACAGCTCTACATCACCAATACTAAGGTGAATTTGTCACCCACCTGCAGATTTTTATTCCACTGAGCACTATCTTCCATGTTCCTCTCCTACACCTGAGCTTTTTTACGACCCATATAACACTTTATTTTCTTGGTCTTCTAAAGGCTTTTAGAGCTGAGAAGCAAACCATGACAATTCACAACGTGCCTTTCTTACAAAAGTTTCTTTAAACTGAGACAAAGAGAGTAATCACTCATAAAAAGGACAATAAGTCCAAAAATACTCTGTGCCCAGTTCCTCCTGTTCCTGACTGTTCTCAAAGATATCCCTGAACTCTCAGCCCTGGCTCTAAAACAAAGGGTAAATGGTGATTTTGTAGATGCTGACATTCAATAAAGTCTTATCCCTCCTCTCCTGCTCTCCGGTGGCTGGGCAGGGAGAAGGGCAGGCTGGAAACCTTTCTAAACGAGGGAGAATTATTCTTTTTTCCACTCCTAGAAGAGGCAGTATCATTTTTGAGGGCCTATATAAATACCAGCAAATAGGAATGAAAGTCTAATTTGTACCTGGACCTGCTGGGGGAGCTTGATGAGGGCAGCCCCCCCTGGCCCAGCGCTCCCACGCTCGCCCATCTCCACGCAGAGCAGATTTTGGCACTTTTTGGGAAGGACAGAACTGCTGTGCTGCTGACGGAAACCGCCCAGCCTGGGGAGGGGGGGAGCAGAGCTCTGAACATATGAATCCCTTCCGCTGACCCCAGCATGTAAACAGAGACCCATATTCCCACCCCCGGGGCAGCGGGATCTGCGCCTGAACTTCATGGCGGCCTTTTCACAGGAGCCAGGGGCGAACCCTTGGGAGCGACGTGACCTTCTCCCTCATCTCTGGGGGATCTTGCGACACCGAATCTCACCAGGCTGAGAGGATGAGGAATAAGCGGGAGGCAGCGTGCCAGCCCCTGCCGCAGGCGCTCCGCTTGCACTCCCGCTTGCCCCAGGGGCTCAGCATCGGGCAGGGAACGCTGCTTTACCCCACTCGAGATGTCCGAGCGCTCTGCAAAGAGCCTCTTGTCAGTGGTACAGAGACAGCCCCCACTTTTGTAAGCTCTTGTACTAACCAGAGAGCACTGAGGCTCCCTGGGAATCGCTGCCTGCTGTCACAGGCTTTTATCGCTGTTTGCCTTGAGTTCAGGCCCATTTGAAAATACCAGCTCTATACTGGTGGGGTCTGGATCCCAGTCCCAGCGCTGCACTCCCAACACTGTGGCACCACGTCCTGCTTCCAGCCCTTCTTAGCCCTCTCCTTGGAGGACACGGGGCTCTGGCAGGAGAGCGACAGGGAAACAAGGTGTCAGCTGCCCTCCCACATCCCTGGACTAGCGTCACCACAAAACCCACGTCATCAAGGAAATGGTGCCACGTCACCCCAAGGTTTGCCTTTGCCACCTTCATCTGGCCTGTTGGCTCTAACACAGCTTGTCCTACCAGCAGAATCACAGCATCATTCAGGTTAAAAGAGACCCTTGGGATCATTGCGTCCAACCATCAGCCCTGTTCTACAAAGTTCTCCCCTACACCACATCCCCCAACAGCTCATCAATAATCTAATAACATCTAATCAACAGCTTGCTCCAAACACTCCCTTTTTTCGGACAGTTAAATATCTCTGAAAATTCCAAACAAAGCTATTTCACTAAGCTTTGAAATTTTAGGCAAGACAGACTCCTTTTCCCTGTAGCCTGACATACATCTGTCACTGATGTGATGGACAAACCAACCAAGACCACGGCACCGAGATGAAATTTCAGCTCAAAGCGTGATTTCTTTTATGGTTGTTGAGCCCCACGAGAGTTGTGGAAGGGGGAAGATGGTCAAACACCCATGAAATGAGCACGGGCAGCCCGGCCTGCAGCAGAGGCTGTACCACTCTTGAAAGAGTTACTAAATTCAGGGTTGATGAAATATAAATTGATGCTAGCTGTTAAAATAAATAGCTGAAACAGCCAATTATTCAATGGCTTAGCCAAAATATTCAAAATTCTTGGCCAGAATTGTGCAGGCTTTTACAGAGTGGCAAAAAAAAATTCTAAGAAAAAGGCCATTTCTCTGAATTTCAGTGCACTGATCTAAAACATATGGGGATTGGAAAACTTAAAAAAAAAAGTAAAAGCTCATCAGGATCTTTTACCTGGGAAGAAGCATATTTTCCACTCACCCTGCTTTCCAATATAGCTGAGGTATTATGGCTGTTCTTAAGCGGTGCCTCGTTCCTAAGAGGACGCGTGCTATGGATTAATTTATATCAAAACAAATAATTTTGCGAACGAAGATGAAGTGAATCACGTGCAGTATATCTGTGCCAGTGTCCCCAGACGTGTGGCACCTCTGCAGCCTCCAGAGGACCTGGGCTGTGGTCTGGCAGATGTAACTCTTATCTGGACACTGCAAGATGGGTGCAGATCCCTCCCACTCCCCGGGGGTTAGCAGCCATGCAGACTTATGAATCTAGATTAATTTTGGATTGCATCCCTCGAAGCGTACACCAAATAAGGTTTGTGCTTGGCACTGTATCTCACCAGAGATGCTGAGACGAGGGGAGATTTCTAATTCTAATTAAAACAGACATTGCCTGCGCTATGCTGGAGAGTTTTGCTTTCCTTTTTCCTCAACCTCTGCCATGATTGCCAGAGACACAGCGTCCATCCTCCACCACTCCCAGCTCCCCAGCCACGCGCAGCCCACCAGCGATGAGGGGAAACCACTCACCTGTTGCCTTTTCGGGGTTATTGCACATGAAACATTGCCAAGCTCCCGCTTCCTCGCTGTAGCCGAATAAATCAAAGAACCTCACTTCTTCCAGGTGCATCTGCACGTGGTCCAGGTCCTAGGCCAAGAACGAGAAAAAACAAACTGGCTGACGAGGCGAACCGCCGCATGGTTACCAGCTCGTAACCCGGAATCAGAGGGATGCGCAGCGGGCGCCAACGAGCGTCCTCGTCCCCGTGTCTCCTGTGGGCAAACAACCTGCCGGGGCACAACCACAGAATCACCAAGGTTGGAATAGACCTTGAAGATCATCTAGTCCAACCAAGCTGCTAAGTAGGACCCGTCTCCTTCTCTCTATCATCAGTAGCAGATAACACATAAAGTATATATTAGTCTGTAGGAAGCAGACAACTGGTCTGGGATTTTTTTTTTTTTTTTTTTTTTTTTTTTTTGCCTCCAACGCTGCTGCCAGCAGTGTGCTCAGCACGTTTCCCACCAGCTGAACCCCCTTTATTACCTCCAGCTGTCTCAGGATTTTTGGAAGGATCCAGAAGGTAGTGGCCTCTGCTAACACACTGCAGTGCTGGGACTTCCTTCTGCCCAGCTGGATCCCCCATCAGAGCAGGAGTCAGTGGCTGGGTACCACTTTCTTTTTCTTTTCTTTTCTTTTTTTAAAGAAAAAAATAGAGGCTCTGAACCCAGCCCCCTGTGAGAAGCACCAATACAAATGTCTAATGTGAATGTTATTATGAACATTTCTAAAAACACAGCAGCAACAACAAGGACTGATTTAGCCCACATAAAACACACCCAGGTAAACGTGACGTTATTCTGCCAGGGAAGTAAGGATTATTCATCTGCAAAGTAACCTGCACGTCTGGCTTGATCAAAGAAACCAACACAAATTGTACTTGCAGCTTCAAGTATGGGAAAAGCCAATGGATACTCCTTCTGAGGCAATTAATAACACAGTATAATTCAGAGAATTTTAAACCTCGTTATTTAATTTTAAAACAGATTGCGATCTCATACTTAAAACAAACATTAGTGTTAAATAAGAGCAACCAAGTTACTCACTGAAAACACAAAGGGAATTGCCAGGACAGCTCAGAAAACACTCCTATTTATTTGTGTGGGTCTTCAAAGATCTGCAGCACTGCACGCTGCAGCCCAAAGAAAACACAGATTTACGCAGTCAGTGGGGAAAAATACCATCCCGTGCCAGGGACATTAGTTCAGCGCACTGACCAAGGCTGTACAAAGGATGGAATGGTTCATTTCGGGCCTTTTCAGACACGTTTTAGCAAAGGAGAGGGAGCAGGGGGCTGGCTGGCTCAGGGAGACCCTGCAGCATGGCATCTCTCCTCCCCAGCTTCTTTCAACCTGGGAAACGGCCAGGAAACGGCTGTTTTCAGAAGAATTGAAACACTCAGGACCACTTCAGACCTCTGGCCTTCATCCTGGATAACAAGCTGAGCTGAGCTAAACCTTGAGTTTTAATTTGAAGGGGGCTCTCGGGTGCTCCCACCCTCTGCACACCAGAGTCAATCTGCCGATGGGTTTTAGGCTGTCAGAAGGAAGAATGGCAAGGCAGAACGAGGAGCACGACTCACATCACCTGAGAAGCTCCAAACGACAAAAGTTTTCCTCCCTTTCTGGCAGGAACACGCAAAGGACTGGGCTTTGCAACACACGGGAAGGCAACGATCACGCGTTGGCAGGGCAGCAGCCCCACAGCCCGGCTCTCCTCTCTGTCCCCTCGCGTGGGAGGTGAGTGGCCAGGCTGCAGAGAGGTCCCTGCACTCCCTGGCACCTTGGTGGGTCCCTCGTAAGGCTCTGCTGGGCAATTCCTCATCCTCCTGCGCCCGGGTCAGGGCTGCATCCACGCCTCTGCACAGTCGGCTGCTGGGCTGCCCTGCCCCAGGACGCTCAAACTGGCTTATACTGGGGACCACGGGTAAAACTTGATTACTGTGCTCTGCAGCTGCTCTTTAGACATTGCTGAAGCTCTTATTTTCCTCCCAGGAGGAATTCTGTACATTCAAGGAATTTAGGTGGCTGCGGCGCCGTGCAGCAGGAGCGCTGTGCAGCTTCTCTGCGCATTTCTCCAGCTGATCAGTCGGCGTTGGACCTGACAGCCCGAGGCTCCCCGCCTCCCTTCGTGCGTGGTGTGGGATCCTGAGCAGATCCCAAGCAGGGACACACCACACCAGCCCCTCGGGGTCTCGTCCCCACTGTGGGCTTCCAGTGGTGGGGCAGATATCCCTGCGAGCACACCCTGTCCCAGTGTGCCCCGATCCTCCTCCTGCCGTGGCATCTGGGAGGACACAAAATGGGCAAAATAACGATGGTATTGGTCTCAGTGAGGCTGTGCAGGGCATTATGGTGGATCATGCTGAATGAAAAGCCTAGGAGCTTCTCCTTCCTGTGAAAAAAATCTTTTAGTGGCTGCAGTGAGCCCGCACTAGACTGAAAGAAAACAAATATCACCAAAATATTAATGCAGCAATCTTTCTTTTCCACTCTGTACTCTAGTATGCTTGAAATAATCTGCAATAAGTTACTTATTTCAGGAAGGGAAGCATGGGGGAAAAGCCTAATTGGAGAGGAGAGATTTATATCATCCCCATGCTCCATCATCTTCAAAACTTCGCAACTCCACTGCGAAAACGTGGCGCTTCTTTCTGCTGCGTAAACTGACATAGCAAACAAAGGCAAGGAAAGAACAGAACTAACAATGGCTTAAAAATGTTAATTATTCTCTTGCAACACCGCTCAACAAAAGACTCTCTTAAGGCATCACATGGGGCCCGTGAAGTAGTCACCATCTCACTCTTCTGACACAGCATGAGTCAACACAAAGAATTCGGCAACGAGCTCAAAACCAGCCTCGTTTTTGTAATGTGGCCTGCGTTGTACTTTGATAAAGAAATATGAAGCAACTGAACGGAAATCTGTAAGGATGTACATCTGGAAACGCTTTACTTCTGGCACGTTTTAAGCCATGTTGTGTAAATATTTTTTGTGGCATGAACAGGCTGCCTGGTAGAACACGACATGCTTTCTGTAAACCAGGTATTCTCTGCAATTCCTTGCACGTGCGTGTTGGGCCAAATTCAGAAATCGCTTACAGTGATGTAAATCTGAAACTATTTCCCAGAATTTCCTCTGAAATAAATCATTGATGTAATAGATTTTTCTCCAGGTTTGCAAAACGCTTGAGAATGCGTATTGAAAGAAAAAGTCTAAATTCATTCACTCTGGATTAGCCACAGGGTCACGGGGCAAACGCGGAGCAATCGCAGAGCACGTTGCAGCTCTGACTCCGCTGGGGTTCCTGTTGGCTGCGGGGGGTCAGACCTTCCCCGTGTGCTCACAGCACAGAAATTCCTTGGTTCTGGTAAAGCGTTCAGACGCTGCTGTCACACGACACATAAAACTTAATATAAAATGTAATCCAGGATGCTGACACTGCATTTATATGAACAGATTTCAAACTATTTTAAATGAAGTGCTACGCTTATTGAAACAACCACACACCCCTAATTTTGCTTCCCGCACTACTGGCAGAGGAATAATATTAAGGACTACAATAATTTTGTCAAATTATTCACAATATTTAAAGTTCTATTAGTAACGGGCAGAGCTTCTGAAACGAAAACTTCAGATTCCTGCAGAAGCTCAGTCTGTCAAGCAGAGGAAGGACTAGGTCATGCTGGGAATGCTCCAGCTAGATTTTTTGGGGAATGTAAAAGCTAAAGGAAAGCTTCCTTATGGCAGGCCCAGGTCTCGCTCCCAGAAAACCCAGCGGGACTTTTCTCAGTAAACTGAATGGAAATTGCACCAGAAACAAACTCAGGTTCTGTATTAATAGGCAAAACCAAAACTCAGAAAGTAAATCCAGCAGCATGCTGTGGGGACCAAGACTGAATATTAAAGTCTTTTACCATTTCAGATGTATTACATCTGCCTGCCTTCGAAGGCTGTTAGGCAATCCGCAGCTCCCGGAATTACCAAACTTCAATCCACTGCTTAATTCATTAAATCAGTGAAGATCACTATCTCCTTTTCCAGCTCCACTATTCTGGGACCTTGGAGATATTCTTACTGTCACGGAGTGATGAAAGTTCCCAAAATAGGCCAAATGCTACTATCTGAGCAGTAGCAGGATTATGCAACCAGTGTGCTGGAGACTAATCGCGTTTCTAGGGTGTTGGACACGTTTTGTAGACTTTGTGTGCGTGATGCACAACATCTAATCCTACCCGTGAAGGCATGCTCTTCCCTAAGCGCTTTACGCACCCCAAACTCTTTTACACTCCACCAGCTCCGACTTTCAACTAGTAGATCTTGGCGTGGACTCAAGTTAAGCCAGTACTGAGCAGAAAAGCAGTTCTAATGCCTTCGGATGAGTCAGGCTAGGATTTCAATAGCAGCTAAAATACTTAGCGCAAGCTCCACTGTGTCTAAGTAAAACTGGCCCGTGAGCTGGGTTTCAGCTGTGGGGATCCCCTACTCCTCTTACACACTGCAGCAGGAGTTTCCACTTCAACGCAACATTATCTTGGGGATTCATAAGGTGTTTTTAACAAAACTCCTGTTTTTAAGTCAGCCATAACCTTAGTGAATTAATCTTATCCAGTCAGACATCTTCATGCGTACAATATTCTGAGAGAAAGCATTTTAAAATCACGTTTGACAATTCATTTCATCCAATTGAGCTGGATGGAGATGTTCAGGAATAAACAGATCATCCTTTTCCAAGAAGCCTGATTAATAGCTTGGAAATAGCATTTATTGAAATCCCAGAGACGGTAAACAGCTTTGAAAAAGTAATCTTTTAAACTGATGGGGTTAACTAATGGTGCGTGTGCGACGATCATCTCCATAAAATCCCAGTCTGTGTTTAACTAGGTGAATTTCCAAGTGGCTGCCAAACGGTCCGTCATGGCAGCTAATCCGAATCTAGAGTTTGAAACGCAGAGCAGGAAAAAAAAAAAATAAAAAAAATCCATGAGTAGCATAGCTAATTTTCATCATGTTGGGAACAACCCACACAGAGCATGTAGGAGGGGAGGGAGGACGAGCCTGGAGACCTTTCAAAGCACAGTACGAAACGACGCCGTGGACCCTCTGTGGAGGCTGAAAATATAACGGCCAGTGAATGTTTTTTAACCTCCCCACAAGCTGAGTGCTTTGAGTAAAAGGGGGGTCGGAGGCACTCGCTACGGATCACCGTAGGGCCGTCCAGGAGCAGAGCACGTGGCATGTCAGCAAGCGCAAACGCTCATAAGACACCGGAGCTAAGGCAAAAAAGGGGAAGGAGCAGGGAAAGGGGTTTTGTTTTACACAATTTGAGCACAGCAAAGTCTTGCTGTAGCTACTGTAAAGGTCTTTGTACAGTTGTTCTAAAAGTCATGACAAAGTTCTTCTACTATTTGTTTTTTTTTTTTTTTTCTGAGAAAAACCCAAAATGCTTACCTTTTGGTGTGGAAATGTTGACTGGATCATGGCAGTTTCAAAACTGTGTGTCCCCTTGAGCTGTGTCTTCTCCCACAGGGCCTTAAGGACTTGAACAGAATTACTCTGTATGGACAAAGGTTCTGCAAACAAGCTCTAAAGAAAATGGTGAAAACAGGATTTCAAACTTTTTTTTTTTTTTTTTTAACTTGGCCATTAACAGAGAACATTGTGTACTTACAGCAGGACAGCCATACAAATAACCAGGGATTAGTTCGTTTTTCTGTAAGAAGTTAGGATGGATCATTATGCACACAATTAGGTAAATCCTCAAATATTTCATTTCCTTTGGGGATTTTCTTTGATTGTACACTACATGTCTTTAAGGTCTGGCTCACCAAGGATTATCTATCAACTACTACTACCCATAGCAACTTGCATGTCATTTTTGTGTTGAAATGCTAATTTCTCAAAACGTTAGCAGCACGGGCCTCTGACCAGATGCAGACCTCGGTGACATGTATTCTTTTGGCAAAGACAGGCCATTTCCCAGTCAAAGTGGAGAGATGCTTAGCACTGGTGTTGGGTTTGTATGGGTTGATTTGGATCTGACTGTAGTTCTTGGTCGTCGTGCGGGGAAGAGTAACAGTGCAACGTTTGCAACTGCACTGAACAGCCAGTGGGATGAAAGGCAAGAGAAAAAAACCTCCACAGAACACGTTCAACACAGATTTTTCTGGCAGAGGAGGGGAATTTTCACGCCCTGAACATTCACAAACCAAGGTGAGACCTGGGTTGGGTTGGGTGCTCTCACCTCCAAAGCTCCCATTTGAAAGGACAGCGAGGATACAACCTTACCCTGCCTCGAAGGGTTCTAATAGTTCAACAGCATGAAGTTCTTCCTTGTATAAACTGCACACAAAGTCAGCGTTACAAGAACACTACCACAGCTGAGAGAGCTTAGCATTTTTGCCTCTATCTGCTACATGATCTGGTAATTTAAAAATGCATTTGCATGCAGGAGCCAAGTTGAGTGCACGAGCAAATCTGATTTTCCATATTTCAAGTATTTGATTTCACAACACGAACAATGTCCTTTTAACGTAAGTTTCCTGGATGGATGTTCCTCCTTCTCTGTCTAAGCAGAAACACAACACTCCTAACCCCACTGTCTGGCATCCAACTGACTCAGATGCACTTCAGTAAGACTCAACCAGAAATTTTATCGTGGCTGAGGCAACACATTTTTCGAGCTAAGCTGTCAGAAACAGCCGGATCGTTTTGTCCAAATTAAAAGGGAGGAGGAGTCAGCTCCAGGCAGCCACCTGGCACAAGAAAATGGCAGCCCAAATTAGTTTGTGTTTGGCAAATTAATGAGCAACTCTAGGGAAGGTGTTAGAAAAGGACATGTCAGGCAGCCCCACTGTCCCACCTGATGAGGGAAATTAAACCATAAATCATATAACGCCAGAGGACGATTTTAATGAATGAATCTGTGAAACGAAAGCATCCTGTCTATCAGATAACCGCTCCAACATCGCCCCTTATTCTATTTTTTTTGCCTTTTCTTAATCATTGCTTAACTGTAAGACAATTTCTCAGATCTCCATTGACACACTCTTCTCTTCCTACTACCCTGCACTAATAACTTGCCATTTCACAACTTCCATCCGAGGTTTCAAAACATAACTATTCACTAATATTTTTTAAATTATCATGAAGTTAAGAATCTGTTCTCGAGACATGGGAGAAAAAGTCTCTCTTGCTTTTACTTTTGCAGGACGCAGTGTCCAACAGAATATGGAGCAACTGGCAAAAAAAAAGGAATAAAAATACGGTAATTGGTATTGAAATCTTCAGAAACCATGTATTAGTTGGCTGTGAATCTGTGACAGATCTGCTGAAAACTACATTTTTATCACCAGCCTTTCATTTAACTCATTATTAACACACTATAAGTACATTTCATGTCAAATTTATCTTTTACAATTTCACAGGCTTAAATAACGTTATCCCAGGGCTGAATTTAGTTCCCTGTATTTAATTTAATAATAGTTATATAGCCAATAATTAAAAAGCTTTAGGATTTTGAAAAGTAAAACATAAGTTATCTGACATTAGACACCATCCTGATGCACAGCAGGCTTGAACGCTTGGTGCAATGCAAGAGGAACCTTTTTTTTTTTTTTTTTCCCTATAAAAAAAGCGTATTAAGTGCTGCGTGTACAGCATGTTTGTAAAGACACAAACTAAACTGAGTTTCATTGAGCCTGGCCCTGGCAGCATGGGGGGATTCTGCTGGGGTGGGGGGAGCCCGGGGCCAGGGGTAGCACTAGCAAACTAGCGAGAGGGTAGGGAATAAAAGCAAAGCTTTGGAAAGAGCAGCTGCAGTGGGAAAAAGGCAATTACCCAGCCTGGGGCAGGGAAAGCTGTGGGAAACGGGGGACCAGGGTTTGGGGGCAGCATCCAAAGGAAGCCCGTGGGGATGGGGAAGGGGGACAACGGGCACCTGAGCACAGAGGAATGGGGAAGGAAAGTAATATTGCCCCTGGGAGCTGGGAGCGACGCAAAGCTCAAATGTTCTGATACAAGATGGAACTGGCAGGGTAATCTGGGATGGGGTTAAGGGGAGAGGTTTTTCAACAAAAAATGTCTCAGGAAAAGCCTCGGCACCTGGGATTAAAGGTGAAGCAGAGGTCACTGCCTTAAAATCCAGCGGCCGAGGCTACGCGGTGGCGAGCGAGGTTTGCCAGCTGTGCCGCCCCGTCTCCTCTGCTGCTGCTCCTTGCTCATTTTCGTGCGGTTTAGTACCTTTTTGTCCATATTTTTGAACATCTGTTTTCCTCTCATCAGGAATAAAATGATACATTTGTAACGTAATTCATTTATTCTCTCTAGGTCCCATTAAAATTCAACCTCTTCCTTCAGGTTTTCATTTACAGAGTAATTCACCTCCTTTATTTTCCCCTTTCATCTCGTCTTCTCATTCCTATTTCTGCCTCTGCTCTTTATTGCTTCCTTCTCTCTGCTCTCCCTCTCTCACCATCTCCTACAGACCTGCATTTTTGAAAAAGATTCGTTGTATTTATTTCTAGGAGCAAACACAGGGAAGATTGATTTGAACTGTTAAATTCAGAGCATAACTCGCTGGGCATGTTTTAAATTTCAGGTAAATCTTTCGTATTTCTAAGATTGCATTAGGGTGGGATGAACTGTGGTGAATGGCTCTGCATAGGTTAAGAAACTGAACCTTACTTTTTAACACAAAACCCATTTGTTTCATCTTGAAGTGTGAATGTAGAGTTTTGTCTTACAATTTCATACGATTTGCAACCTATTAGGAAATTCCACATCTGTCCAAATACTGGGCTTTATTTGGAAACGGTATTAAACAGGAGAAAACAGCTTTAGGGTTGGTAGAACAGCACTGATCAGCTTTGCAAATCCTGCAAAACTTCTGCCGTAAAAAAATCCCGGTGGGTGCTGCACCTCTAACCTCCACCCGCAGCCTCGGGGTCGATTCTGCTCCCCTGCAAATCCGCTGCGAAGCTGCTGCTTGTTGGCGAGGCACCTGGGACTTAACGCAAGGTTTGCCTCAACGAGGACAACAAGGTTTGGTCCCACTTTGCTATCCCCAGACTTTGTAATCTCTCCCGACAGTTTGAATTTGCTGTATTTAATAGAAATATAAAAACTCATAAACTGCAAAATCACTTCAACCTACTATAATGACTTTCTGAGAAACCACAAGGGCCACAAAACACTGTGGATTAGAAGCATATTTAAAGAGTTAAAATATTTTTCTCCAAGTACAACATGAACAATAGAGAGGTGCCACTAATTTGTACTGCACACACCTGCTGAAAGAGGAACATGATGTGGATCCACAGCGGAGGCTGCTGGCTGACGAGGGTAAAGCTGGATTTACTGTACAAGCAGTAATGGCCCTTCAGGGGACAGCTGAAAAACAGCTTTGCTACACAACTTCTAACAGCATCTAGAAATAAAGAGACAGAACATTAAAATCGACTATGTAAAAGCCAAACCGAACTGCCTGTTACCAGTGTACGTGCAGTCACGCCGTGCGAGGGCATCTCGGGCTGGGTCAACTCCCGTGGCGTTGCTGCGTCTGTGTCCTTAAGTTAAACACAAACCATCTGACAGCACTAGAGAAATTTAGTCTCCAGTGCTTTAAATCTTACGTACTAATCATTTACTCCCAAACGTGAAAGGTGCAAGACAGCACAGTCAGGCTGTTTATCTCCTCTGTGCTTTCTCAGGCATTCGGTACCGCCGTTTAGCTTATCGAAGCAGACAGATCTGTCAAAATTGTGCATCACTTATTTTTATTTAAGGAGTTTGTTGGAAAAAACATCCCGTATTAGGAAAGAGCCATATGGGGGCCTGACATCCGTGGGATCCATGCCGAGACTTTGCGCAGCTGAAAGCTGGTGTCCGTAGGGGCGGAGGAGCCCAGCGCAGCGCGCGGCGCCCAGCGAGGAACCGGCTCACTCGGGCACCGCTAAAGCCTTTGCGACGGATCCTCCCGTCGGAGCCAAAAGATCCATAAATCTATTTACAACACCACTGTGCACGCAGCACGTTTGCTGTACAGGCCATCTGAGAAATTAATCACCAGAAATACTACGGTTTCAAAGAAGAGTGTTAGCGAGCGTTCCCTGAGCTCTGTGTCACCGCGGGGAGCCGATGTGCCACCTCCTGCCCCTCTCCACACCCGCCCAGGATCCCCAGCCCTAGAGCTCAGCTCCCCCTCAGCCTCCCTGGGCAGAGATGCTCTGGCTTCTAGAGGCTTCAGATCCTACAACCCCCATTTCTTACCACACTCCAAGTCTGCTGGTGACAAGTTTTACACGCTAAGCCAGGGAGCTGCAGTTTTTGCAGCCGTGCTCCGAGAGGCACAACACACAAGGGACAGGGATCATTGCTGCTGTCACACCAGTGTCACAACTGCCAGCACAGCCACAGACTTCGCAGCAAAAAAAAACCCAAATCACACAGAGAAGCAGCATGGAGCTCCAGGTCCAACTGGAGAAGAGGCTGCACTGCCATTCACAGTTATCCACTGGGAAAGGTGGGACGTGTCCGTTCACAGCTGAGACTCAGCGTCCCCCACTCAACACTTTTGGTTTTCTCCAAAAGTGCAGTTTGACTCCCAGTCCCAGCTCTGGGGCACTACAATTCTCACTGCTCTGTCACATACCGACCGTTTATGCCATCTGTGATCATGTCATCTGTTGATAAAAATCCCACCATGGTTACGCACAACCCGAGAGTGTCCTTTGGGATCAGCTGCTCAGCAAGAGCTATAAGCTACGTCATGTTACCTGACTCTGAACTTCCCATGCTGGTTTTAACTGGAAATTAAACCCTTGAGAAACATGATTCTGCTTTTACAAAATGTTGACCTTGAACCCTTGTTTTCTGTCTTTGGATGACTGCTCATAATGATAACAGCATGTTAGACATAACCTAATCAGAATTCTTTATTAATGTAAAATAGCGGTATCATTTTATCGCCACTTTGAACAGGAATAAGTAGCTCTCCAAGGTAAAAAAAGCATGGAAAATGACATGAAGAGCCTTAGACGATGACCTTGATGCAAACACGGGAGAGTGTTGCACCCTCTTCACCCAGCTGGAAGGTTGAACTTGGAAGGGGAGAGGAACAGCGGGTCCCACCTGCACTTATTTCCTAGCTAAAGGCAGAAACGACAGACAGACAGACAGACAAGCTGCCCGGCAGTGCCGGTGAGCCCACCCCACTGGGCCATGCCCAGAGCTGCTCAACTCACCGGTGGCCCTGCCCTGCCAGCACCTGCGGGGTCAAAGCCAAAGGACGCTGAAGGAGAAGCGAGGGCAGCGCAGGCCCCCGCGGAGTCGGCCGCGAAATGAATCACGGAGCTGAGGCGGCTGACAGGGGCCAGCTCTGCAGGGAGCGTTACTCAGAGTCTCGTGCTATCCCCGTGAGTCACCGGGCGGTGAAGGTGTAGGAATAAAATCCTGTAAGAAAATACCCGAACTGGAAAAATGAGTTGTAACTTTTTAGAAAATGTGGCTCACAGGAGACAGTTTATAGAGCACAGCCTTCTGGATCGACTGACAGTGCGAGCCAGCAACCGGGGAGACGGATACCAGAAGGCAGCCTTTCTGTCCAACAACAGACCATCTTGAAATACTTGTTGTTTTTAACACTTTTCACCTAATCAAGAAGTGAAAGCGTAGGAGAGAAATGTAATAAATTCAGTATTTCACATAAAACCACAACATATGAGGAATTTCACCAGAGATACAATAGGATGGGTCCCTAGACCTAAAGGATCCATGGATCAGACTGTCACTGAAAGTGCAGAAATTAAAACTGGAATATTGGAACCTGCTGAAGATGCTACAGAGAGGCCAGATGGCTGTTAGGGTGGGAGAAAAAACTTCAGAAGCTGGCAAGTGAAAACCACTTTATTATCCTTTAACAAAGCTGTTTGAATTTGCTGAGAAAAGGAAGTCACCAGTGTCAAGCTGGGGCTGTAGAGCTCATTGAGACTCCGCTGTAGCACAGGACAAGAGATCCGAGATGTAAAGGCACAGGAAGATAGTTAGAGTTCACAGAAACCAGAAGAGTCACTACACACACTGTGGGGAAACACACACAAGCCAAAGCAATGCATAATATTCAGAAGAATTCACAAGAACCAAAGCAGATTGTAGTGACCACAGAGCAAGGGATGACAACAGCACTCCCTCCTCAGAGGAACACTCACATGCTATCATCAGCTACATTGCAGCAGGTAAAGGTTGGGTTAGGTGGAAACCAATGGGGGGTTCATTAATCTTTAATCACAGGCAGGTGCACAAGCCACTACGGGGGCCAGCACGAGCGACAGTGAAAGCAGAAGAAAAGCCAGACACTAGGTCAGAGGGTCAGACCAGGCAGTGAGCTTTTCTCCCAGAGAGGGAGTTCATGAAACAAGTCAAACCGATATTGAGCTGAACCAGACTACAAACATCATCCAGATTGCTCCCCGTCAAAGAGAGAGGAGGAAGGACCTAGAGCAGCCCCGGCTCTCCTAACCCACAGGTGAGCCAACAGGAAAACCCATCTGCATTTGTCTTGAGAGAGGGTGTTTTTGGCAGAGGACAACTTTGAAAATTTTTCCTTTGCTTTGAGACAATGATGGAAAGAGGAGCTGAAGGGGGGGCACCGCTCTTGGCTTCACCAAACATACAAACAAAAAAAAAAGTCTCACTTGTTGGCGTTTGGAAATATGTCACTCTCTCCTCTTGAATAGGCCTGAATAAATGAATATATTACAGGACAATGTTGCCTTGAAGAAAGGAAGAACCCAGACAAAGTGATGGCTTGGTGCCAAGCACTGGGCATCTGTAGGCTGCTCTTCGAAGAAGATGATGCCGATTTGTGCAGATTGACTACATCCTGTGGAATATGGAAGTGCCTTTCGGGTCGTGTCAATCGCCCGAGCACAAACATATCTAAGATATCCTGAGCACAAACATATCTAAGATCTACAGTGGGACCACAGGAGAAGCGTGTGTATGACTGTAAGCTTGCAGCAGGAGAAAGCCAGGGCTTAAAGTTAAACCAGCAAAGATGCAAATGCTGCTAAACTGAGATTACAGTTCTGAAAAGAAAACTAACTTAGCTGCAGATCCCAGATAAGTCATGCCCATAAACAACACGCTCACCTTAGCAGGGAAAAGAGGGGGCATCAAACCCATTACTCTTGGATTAGTGACTATGGGGAAAATTTGAGTTTAACCTGATGACTCAAACCTACCGGTTCATACTCAAACCTGCCAGAGTTCATGTTCAACATAAAGGGGTTTGAGAAACTGAAGGGGTTAATTAGAGCGACCCTAAATCCTGGGCCATATTAAAGCACAAAACTAAATGATTTGGCTGTTGACAATGATTTGGCTGTTGTCTTTGAGCAACATGGTCCAAACTAAAGACCCCTGGTTTATGCATCACAGATGCTAACAGAACCTTAACTTCAATACACTCAACCAGAAGCAGAGGCTTGGCCTTGGGCCACGTGTGTGAAAAGTTTAGTGCTTCATTATGGGAAATCACTCTTAGCTAAAAATGACCATAAACCACGTACGACCCCTGCGCAAAGGAGCTGGCGGTCAATGCCTTCCTCTTCAGTGAGGACGGTGGTTATTTTTTCAGTTACAAAAGCATGGATTGACAAGAAACCTGGGAGGCATTGAAAGGCTGCAGGCAAACCCTGGAGTGCATTACAGTGTGCAGGGCAGCAGAGTCCAGAGCTGGATTTCTTGTCACCCACAGTAAGTCCCCGTCAGGCTGATGAAATCCCACCTGGGCAGGCTCCCACCGAAGCCATTGCAGGGGTGAGCAGAAGGCGGCAGAGCTCCGGGATACCTGCCCCTGCTCAGCAGATAAGAAAGGGTACCCAGTGCTCAGGGGGATTGTGTTTGATGGGACTGTGAAGGGGGGTTCCCAAATGCTGCAGAACAAAAAATTCCAAAGAATATACAGAGAGACACAAAAACCTAACAGACTGCTTAGTAAGATGCTCTGGATGACACTGAGAAAAACACTGAGGCTGATAATACATGCCAAAATAAATGTCAGCTCCAGCCCTGGAGTCCACACTGGCTGAAAAAAAAGTTAGTTCCTGGAAAAAAAAGCAGCATTCATTTGTCAATACCAACTGAAAAAAGCCTCCTACTCAGACAATCTTCAAACCTTTGGTATGAGATGAGCAATTACTCATAGCTATTCCTGCTACATTTCAATGTCTGTAAGAAGCCAAAGTGTACTAGGTGTGTTTTTTAATGGTAGCTTCAATGAAACTGGTCACTGAAAGTCAGTGGAAAGTGGAATTTAACTAATAAACCTGTTCTAAGATGACCCCGAGCCATATCTAGCACTGTTACCCTGTATTTCGCTCAAGTGCAACCCAACACACCACTACCATGGAAACCCATTTTTATGGT